CTTTGGATGTTTTCTTCCTATTTTGCATTATCGATTATTCATTCTAATCATTGGTACATTTTAGGTATACAATATAATGACATTCATCATTGGGAATTTGCACCTTTACATAATCTCTCTTGATTCTTATCTTACTCAACCATAAAAAATGAGAAATTAGAGACGTTTGTAGCTAAGTGGATGCACATTGAGGTGATACTCTTAAGTGAAATAAATAGGACACACATGTATAAATACCGAACAGTTTCTCTGGTGTGAGAAACTGAAAGTGTAAATAAAGATCAAAATATATAATAGGTAATGTGAAATAGGAAGAAAAGGGGCAAAGGGGAAGGAAGTGTGAGGGGTAGGGGAAAGGAAAGACAAGAATGGAACTAATTTGAGAAAATGGAAAAATGGGAACAAAATCTTTGTAAATAGGGAGGAATGGAGGAGTTGAAGGGAGGGCAGGGGAAGGGGGAAAAATAATAACCTAGAGTTCTTATTAGGGAATTATTTGGAACTCTCCAAGATCTTTCTCTGCCACGGAACTACCGGGTCATTTCTTTGCCCAGTGCCCCTTTACAGCGGCAATGTGAAAAGTGGGGAATGTTATCCCTTTTGGGCACCAGGTTTCATAGAAGAGAGGTTTTCCAGATTGGGCTGGGTGTGGCTTTAGGATGATTCAAAGTAGCATGCAGCCTAGATCTCTCACAAGCTCAGTTCACAATACCGTTCATGCTCACATGAAAATCCAATACTGCCACTGATCTGACAGAATGTAGAGCTCAGATGGTGCTGTAAGCGATATGGAGCAAATGTAAATATAGAGGAGCTTCTCTTACTGACTTTGCACCTATGCAGGTTCCAAACAGGTCACAGATCTTTACTACTCCATGCCCCAGGGGTTCAGGATACCTGGATTTAATGACAATCAAAAGCTCAACATCCTTAACATAACAGAAATAGAAGTTTAATCTGAGAAAGTGCATTTCTTTTTCTCTTCCTTCTTTCTCACCCCCAGACCTTTTGTAGAAAATGATACTCACCCTTCTCCAGCACTTCCCTTACCTTTTTGGGCTGAAGACTCTGCCAGACACCGCCAGGGCTGCCAGACACTGCCCTGAGAATACGGTAACTTATTGGTAAAATGTGTTAACTCACAAATACCTCTCCTGATTCTGTTTCCTCCTTTAACATCCTGAAATAGTTATATCACCGTAGGTAGCCTTCGTGAAGGCTTTCTCTAGGAGACCTCAGATGACATCTATAGCTTCCATTGGAAAGTGTGAAAGACATCTACACCTATTCATTCATACGTGATTCATGGCCAAATGGATGAAGGTCATGTGCAGTTATTGTGCCAGGTGTGCGCTGTAAGCCACATAAGCATCTTTCTCAGCAGTAGCATTCCATGGAGGGAGAGAAGCACATGTGCTTTGTCAAAGGTATTCACGGGCTATACCTGCGGAAACTCAGGGATGATAAAGCCCCTCCCAGAGCTATTTTAAAATGACAGCAATATTAAGTAAATTTAAAAAGACACAGAAGCTCAGATATGGCATGGCTTCTCTTATATGAAAAACCCAAAGCATAAATAATTTAAAGGGCAAAATAAAAAATAGATGATAGAAAAAAGAGAGATAAGTTATAAGGAGAAGAGAAGGTGATATGAAGGTGAGGGGAGATTGGAGGGAGTGGAAGGAAAGGGGTAACAAAAAAGAAGATTGGGATATGTTCATGTACCAGTTGCCCGTGATCAATGTATTTACTATGTATCACAAACATATACTAATAAAAAATTTAAAAGAATAAAAATAAAATAAAAAAGGAACCAAATTTGAGTAGAAGCAAAATACAAACATGAGAAGTTTGGAGATAATACCCAAGCATAGTGGGATTGAAAATCTAGAGAATTCTAATATACTTCTGCCACTTCATTTTTCATCACTGGATGCTATCTAGTAACATAACACTACTACCTCCACTGTACAGATTTACAAACTGAGGCTCAATGCCTGAATGTGGCTTCCAAATAGCTATTTCTATCATAACAAAATATTTTCTCTAAAGCTAATATGAAGACAGATTGAGAAATCCTGTGCTGCCTGGCACAGTAGTATTCAACACCTGCCACTCCCTAACAAGAGCCACTACAGAGTGTAGGAGGAGTCAAGGGGGCAGCAGCCATTCCTTCACATCTAGGTTCCTTCTTCCATTATAGTCTTGTGGCAGGACTCCCCATGTGTCTTCCACAACCAGCACTCCATCTCATACAGCAGAGAGAAAGAAAGAGGTGAGTCATGCCATTTCAAAGGCTAATGTTGTGGAGGACCTGCTTCTCTTTGTTCCCAGCCAGAGAGGTGTACAGAATGCTTTCAAACATTGAGATATTACAGTGTCATCTAATAAAAATTGCTAATGAAATCAGCTCCCTCTAACCAAAGCCTTTTGTATGAATATTTTTTGATAAAAATCTACTGTGGAACTAATATGAATTCATCCTACTCCAAAACACCTAATTGGCAAATATGATGTTATACCATAGGGTAACGTGACCTTCTACTTGGTCTGGTCACCTCTTGTCCTCTCACACCTGGTTGGGGATTTATACCAATAGGAACAACTCCTTGAGAATAAAACACAGCTAGCACCATGTTCTAACAAATGCAATGGCCTTGTTCTACAAAGGGCAATGAAAAGTGGCATGCTTTTTGTGAATTCAATTCAATAGAGAGTAATCTCTTCAAACATTAAGAGCTTTGAATACTAAGAGTTGT